TACTGTTATTGGTATTATTAAGCCAATTTGGAAAATAAATAGCTGTGAATATGCCTAACTTTTAACTTAGCTGGCCCACATGACTTTGCCTTCAATAATGGTTATCACATTGAATGTCTATGATGTAATTTTATTCAGATGGGAGATTTAAAGAGGTGTGATCTGGTGCAAGTATGCAATTTGACATCTGAGATCTCATATAAAAAAATATTTTCTATAAGCCATGATTGGAAAGCATCAAAATACTTGCAGCTGCTGCATTGTTTGCTGGAAGAGAATGAAAATAGCTGGAATGATTAGAGGACTTGTGGGGGAAGTAAATAATACCACGTGCATGCTAACTTCATCACACAAATCATGCAACTTATATAGGCATTATGAACAATGACATAGTAACACGTACCATTTTGATGTTGTGGTTTATTTTGGGTGCTGCTGGGAGCGGTAAATAGTTTTGAAGTTATTCTGCCAGTTTTCAGTTGAACATTTTTGAAATATTTCAGTGCAGTGCATTTTTAAATAGCTCCCTGTAATGTTCCTCTTTCAAGGCAGAGATAATAAGAATTAAACAAGGGTAACACAACAGCCTCTAAACTGTTCAGCAACCAGAGAATATGCTGAGCCATTGAAGAAATTCTCTTACTCTAACTTCAAAAACTTCAGCCGGTTTTTTTTCATTTTCTTCTCTGGGATATCAGGATTGATATGACATTGAAGAAACAATCACTAGTTTGCTCTTGTATGGTCTCCTATAGGATCTCCTGCTTGAGTAGAGGGTTGGACTAGAAGACCTCAAAGGTCCCTTCCAGCTCTATTCTGATTAATGTAGCTTTGCTTTCTCTGATCATTGAGTTGTCCAGGGTACCAAGAGCTCATTGGCTATAGAACTTAGTACTTAGTGACATCAGAATTTTGGCTTCTTGCCAATATTATAAGTCCATTAATTATTTAATTAATTAGCAGAGGCAGCAGAATGGCTGTGACAATGGGATGCAATGTTACAATGATAAGAAAGATGCATAGAAAAACTGGCATAGAAAAAAGTACTACTCATAAACTTACACCTGCTATAGTAAACATTTGGAGCCATTCCTGTAAATGTTAGTCTGGTACTCATTCACCAATTTATCAAGAGATAAATAAACTGTCCTAATTTTGCAGACTGGATTTTGCAGGATATTCAGAATGCTGAGAACAAAGTTGACTACTGCTTGATTGACTAATACCACTCTATAAAGCCTCAGTAAGACCACACCTAGAATACTGCATCCAGTTTTGGTCACCACACTATAAAAAAGATGCTGAGTCTCTAGAAAGAGTGCAACAAAGATGATTAGGGGTGGAGGTTAAAACATATGAAGAACAGTTACAAGAACTGGGCATGGCTAGTCTAGGAAGAGAAGGACCAGAGGTGACACGATAGCAGTGTTCCAATATTTGAGGGGCTGTCACAGAGAGGAAGGGATCAACCTATTTTCCAAAGCACCTGAAGGCCAGACAAGGAACAATGGATGGAAACTGAGAGATTCAACCTAGAAGTAAGGAGAAATTTTCTGACAGAACAATCAACCAATGGAACAGCTTGCCTTCAGAAGATGTGGGTACTCCATTTAAGAAGAGACTGGACAGCCACTTGTCAGAAATGGTATAGGGTCTCCTGCTTGTGCAGGGGGTTGGAATAGACCAACAAGATCCCTTCCAACTCTTTTATTCTGTACTCTGACTATAGACTACCTCAATCTATACAATTTGATTTCCCGGTTCTGTTTGTAAGTTCAGCACAGATATATAGCATCCCGTTAGTACAAAACAGAACAAATCTAAAGCTTGTGACTGAAGCTGTGAAAGAATTTGAGACATGAGGACACGAATAAAGTCCAAGCTTAATAAAATATTTAATAAGGTAGTAAACCCCATTTGCTGATTACTCATGTCAAAGTCAGAGTGCTCATCACACTGCTCAGCTCTGCTTTAGCATTCTTTCTAAATGGGAGTGAATGTGCAACTTGTAGATTGTGTGTAAAAAATTCTGAAGGAACAGAAAAATCACTGAATTTATGCAGCACTTCAAAGGACTACAAAACACTTTGAAAGTACCTGTTTCAATGTATTTCTTTGAAGTAAATCCCTGCTTCACATTAAGAATCTACTTTGATGGGATGATTCCAGTGAATGTCTTCAAATCAAAACACCCCTGTGAAGCTTTATACAGTTGACAGTCAATGTTTTTGTTTGTTAAAGTGTAATACAATTGACCAACATTAAAAATCTGGACCAACATTTTGCAAAAGCAGTAGTTAATCTTTATTAAAGCTTTAGATTTGTGAACTATGCTATGTAAGCTCTGAAAACAGAATTAAGGGAGTGATATTTTGATTCAGATTTTGTCCACTTCCAATTATTTTCAATACATACATTCTTCTGGTCTTCATTGAAATGACACACACCTGGAATATAAATATGCTGGTTCAAAAACTGGATGGGGATTACAAATAACTAGAAATGATATTGGGAATTACAGCTTTATCCTTTTTTCTTTTGACCTCCATTGGTATTTTTTTTACTTCAAGGTCCTTTAACACCTGAGGTGTATAAAAAGTGGTTGGGCAAATTCCTGCAGTTTCTTAGGTTATTGAAACAGATGCCATCTTATCTACTAAAAAATGGAACATTCACGTAGAGAAACCACACATATTTTAAACAACCCATATTTATTTGATAAAATAAAAACATAGCCTAAAGCAGAGCTGGAAAGATTTCTACTTTGGGTGAGAAAAAAACCCAAAGCACCCATAAAGCCTTAGCTGTACAAAGATTTGGCCCAAAGTGCCAACTCCATGATTCTTTCACAACTGGGATTAGGGATGATCAAGCTTCTGGCTAGGGAATTCTGGGAAATGATGTTCACACATCTTACTCCACTAATTCCCTTGATGAGATTTTCAGAAGAAAAATTTCAGAACAGTTGACCAGCTAATGAGCAAATATTTTCTTTGACCCACTTGTCAAAAATACATGTCTTCTGGAAGAATTTTAAAGGCTATGATTGACACCTGTGTCTCAGCGTAGGGAGGTTGTAATGCTTAATGCTTAATAATTAGACCATTAATTTTAATAGCTAATAGCTAAACTAATCAGGCATGTTCCAACCCCCCCCTCTCTCTCATTGATTATGTAAAAACAATTTTACTAGTGCAGAGATTGGCACTTGTAGAAAATTCCTTCATGACACCAAGATCAGGTGGAGAACCTGCTGTCATGAGGCATATGATGGAGCATATGAGCAGAAGCCCCTGAGATTTATTTCCTAGCGTAGATTGATCCGATTTTGCTGCTATTACTGTTACACCTTCCTCCTCCTATTTTTCCTACAACAACTGTGTGAGGTGAGTTGGGCTAAGAGAGGCCAAGGCCACCCACTTGGCTTCCGTGGCTAAGGTGGGACTTGAACTCATGGTCTCCTGCTTTCTAGCCGAAGAGATTCAGTCCACGTCACAAATGAAGGAGTTCAGTTAAACAACAGAAAAAGGATATATTGATTTAGCACTGGAAAAGTAGTTCTTTTTATACTTTTATTTACCTTGTAAATGAAAAAATACTATTTAAAAAATATAGTTGGCAAAAAAAGGCAATATTATTATCCTCATCAGTTTTATTTAGCCTGAAGGAGTTCTTGTTCCTTTTAAAGAATGAGTAATAATGTAGTTTCCCCAAGGAGCTTTATACTGCTAGTTCAATTATTATTATTAACATTTATTTCACAACATTTATTTAAAATTAATATCCTAAAGAACCATGGAGGAAAAATATTTTTAAAAACTTTAAATTAAACCCCTATTTTGGGTTCAGTTTCCTTAATTTAATTAATTAAGCATTAAAGGAGTGAAACCTTCACTAATCTTCATAAGTATTAGATACATGTATAATGCATCTCAGCCTATATACTTTGCTAAGAACATACCTTAAATAATGCAGTCTGTTAGGATTATCTGTGGATTGTGGAATCAAAATCTATACAAAAATGCTTAGCATTTATGGGCTTTTTAAAAAGTGGTTAATGTGCTTTACATAAATTATTTAATAAATCCTTACAACAGCAGCAGTCCTATTAAATGTCATGTTACTCTCCTCGTGTCTTAAAAAAACAAGAAAGACTCATGATGAATCAGACCAAAGTCCAGCATCTTATTTATTATTATTTATGAAGAAAATTTATATTGCTGCCCAGCTCACTCTTGGTGACTCTGGGCAGCTTACAAGGATAAAACCCCAGCATAAAAACAAATATATAATTGTACAGTAATCAACAATTGATTCATGCAATAATCAACATTATGTCTCTGGGAAATCCACAAAAAATCTATGTGGGCAACTGCTCATCTCCACTGTTGTTCCAGATTCCTATTGGAAGGAACATTTCTTTGTTATAAACAGGGACTAAAAGGAATATTGAAACAATCTTGTCTAATATTTGGTGAATTGAATATTAGGTTAAGACTTCCACTCAGTCTCTCTTGCTTACAATACATACTCTTAGCCACCACCGTTTATTGCTCTTTTAGTAATTTTGCTTTGCAAAATTGGCTAAAGAAAGTGAAATTTGCCATGTGTATTGGTCTGTTGAAAAGTAATGAGAGAATACTGTCAGTTAATAGCAACTTTATTCTGGTGTAGACTTCTAGTTCTCAGATGGTGTAAACAGAAATAATTCTGATTTTTTTTTCTGTTACAGATTCCATGGATTCTTGCATTTTTAGAGTTGCTCCAATGGATGTCTTTTGCACTTATTGAATCTTTATTTGTGGGAATTATTTTGCTTTACATTCTGATCTAATAATGACTGAGTCATGTGATTGACAAGGGACTTGACTGGCCTAAAAAAGAAAAGTTTTGGTTGATATATTTATGACTTCAGTCCCCTTAAGAAAAGCATGCTCAGATAGTGGCTGGCACAGATACCATTTCCTTTCGGTAAGGCTGTGGAAGACGTGGCCACTCAAAATCTGAAAATGAGTGCACCATTAATTCCCAACAAGTCATGTTACAATCTGTTACAGACCAACAGAAATGAGATGAAAAATAACAATGAACACATGGTGTCTGTAGGAGACACAAATGCCAATCAAATCACGTCAGATGTCAGAACCCCTGGAACAGCAATAAGGACAAGCAATATTTCAGGAGAATCTGCTTGCTTACACACCAGTAAGCAAAAAACCAACAGACATTTAGACTGTGAGAGGAACAACCTTCAGGGCTCTACTGGTGAATCAGACTTTATACTGTCTTCTACCATCAGCAAGAAATTGCATGCAGATTGTAGGCCTGAAGGGCTTAAGGACACTTCAAAGCTAGTCACCATTAGCCGAGGACACAGTTTGTCCAATCTGAGGATCAAGGCAAGTGATAACCTTTCAGTAGTACTTTCAAAAAGTGATGCTGACCTTATTCAGGATGTTTCAAAGGAAAAAGCACTTAGAAGGATTGAGCCAGAAGGAATAAAACGCCTTTCTTTGGGGAGATCAAGAAAACTTATGGCTAAAACCGAAAAAGAATTTGTTGGCCGTGTATCAGGTAAACGCTTGCTTTCTGTATCCTTGGATTCCATCAATACTTCCATCAATCATTTGAGTGGGGACATGGAAAAATCTCAGAAAACATCAGCAGACCATTTTCTAGGCATGGTGTTCCATCCAACTGATGGTGTCTCTGAAGGAAACATTGTACATTACCCTAAATATTCATCTACCTCAGAAATGGAAAGAGCAAGTGCCCCAGCCATACAATCAGGTGTGGATAATGTACCAAATGCCAACAAACAAGACCCTCCACACCATGCTGTTGTTGATCTCCATTTAACCATTAAATCCAATGAAATTTGGAAACCAGAAGCACAAATTGACCATCAGAGTGGTAAGAGAGGAAAAGGGGAGGTGAAGTGTCCTTTGTCCTCACAGTCAAAGCGTGTAGGTGAGCAGAAAATGAACAAGGTTATGTTATTTGAATTTCTTGGATGTCCAGCAGAAGAAAATAATGTTGTGATACAGAATCAAAAGGATATGGGGACACAAGTACATAAGACCAAATTACATCCGTTGCCAAAAGAGGATCTGTTTTTAAATGAAGGATTTGACTCTATTAATGAAAGTCTGATAAGTGACAATGGCTCTCCAGATTTAAGAAAAGGAAATAGTAACAGCAAGGCAGCAAGCAAAGTGAACGAGGAATATAGAGCTGTAAAAAAGGAAGATTCTGTTTCAGCTCCTGGTGATGATACTATACATGTTGATAGATTGACATCAACAGGGAATGAAAACCTATACATTGCTAGCACAAGTTGTATTCCAGCAGTTAATGGGCATGTGTCTTTTATGGATAGTGTTAATGTGACAGACAGCAAACATCTGAATAACTATGAAAATAAGCAGATTCTAGTCAAAGGACCCAGTGAAGATGCTATAATTGTCCAATCTGATTTGAAAGATCCCAAACCACAAAATACAGAAAATATCTCCGTAAATTGTAACATTGAGAACAGTAATTTAGAAACCAGACATTTTTCAGTTCAGAGCAAGAAGACAGTTAATGAAACGAAAGAGCATTCAAGTAATGCACTGGAAAGCTGTAAAATAATAGCACAAAGTGAAACTTTTTTATGTCCCCCAACTCCTTTGCGCCCTTCTACAACTGTGAATGCCAGTAGCCACATCACAGCGTCAAACAGCAGTTTGAAGGAACTTTGTGTGCTTCATGTTGACAAGCTGCCATCTTCTGCAACCCGACCTCCCACTGACAGCACCCAGTTATTTAGCCTATCCCCTAAAGTGCCTAATAAAGCTACATGTAACAGTGCGATCCCTAAGCCTATCCTTATAAATTCCAAGGGGCCCCAACCAGCCACTTATAATGGTGAGAACGAGGATATGGAGAGGCATGAAGATAAGGTTGAAACTCCAGCCATCCCCAAGCCCAAACATGTGAGGCCTAAAATAATAACTTACATTAGAAGGAACCCTCAGGCAATCAGCCAGCTTGATCAGTCTGGATTGTCTTGCATGCCCCCTGCTTGTGGGTTGCCAGTGGCAACTGAACAGAAAATGTTCAATGATGGAGATATTAAACCAGGCAATGTTTTCTACGAAAAATTTAAAACTGACTTTCAGAAGCCTCAGATGTATAGTTCTGGATTTGTAGTATCTGGCATTAAATCCTCAGACCATCAGTTTAGCCAGATGGGTGAAAGGTTTTTCCATGAGGTAAGCTTTTTTCTCCCTTTTTTTAAAATACCCAGGCTATTGAAGTGAAATAAATGTGAATCTGTTAAGATGTGTGATAATCTTTCAAATATTCGATTTTAATATCTGTAGATTTTTTTTCTTGAAAAAGTAGATAGAATTACACTGGCATGGGAAAGAAACTGAACATATTGGGTAAGTATGGTGAAAGAAATATTCTTTATCATCTCATGTTTCTTTATTCATCTGTTTCCTTTTAGGAAAATTGTCACAAAATTCAAGGCTGAGATATTTGATTTTACAATACAAAAACAACACCTGCTGTAGCACTGATGTAAACATGGCTGGAAAATTCTCTTGCTTTGAAAAGCAGTTTTAAAATTGTAAAAAAAAACATTAAAAAAAGATTGAAATGACTCTATATTCAAAAATTATTTACAGCAATTCACCAGCAGGCTTAGCTCCACTTGACTGGTTCAATCTGTATCTCTTTCTCCAACTGCCAACTGTTTTTGAATTTAAATCAAAGCTTTGGCATTAGCTTTTAAAACTAATGGTCTCAAGCTGCCATCAAAAACGGTTTGCTAAATCCACTGTCTACTATTTTTTATGTTGATTTAACTTATCTAACATAGTGCCCAGGACATTGAAATGTCCTAACAATGCAGAATGTACATAAAATAGAAAGAGACATTTGTTTCACATTTGATACACGCTACTGCATTGCTGAAAGTTTGGTTAACCTGTTTTGGGTCAGCTGTAGTCCAGCTGAAAGAAACTCAAACAATTTGAATAAAATCAAACGCAAAACCGTTTCAGATATTCTGACAGGAAATAGTGGGATTCAGAACAAACATATTTAACTGCAAACATCTGTATAACCACTAGATGACAGCAGAGGGGCACAGTGTATTCTCACTGTTTTGAGCCATCTAGGGGATGTTCATATTTTGCAGCCTAGATCTTGTAGCCCCTGGTTTTATTATCAGACATTTTATATCCCAGCAAAATTATTTACACACTCTGCAGTGGCATCTGTTGGGGGAGAGTATAAGGAGAGTCAAAATTATATAAACTGTGAATGTTACTGCTGTTATACCCCTTTCTCCTCCTCCACATTGGGACGAACAGCACAACAAACAACCTGAGCACAATAGTGAGAGATTACAAACAACTAGGCAATAAAGTTAAGAAGCTAGGAGCACAAGTAGTGTTCTCATCAGTACTCCCAATGAAAGGCCAACACCCATTGAGGGGGAAAAGAATTTTAGAAATAAACCATTGGCTAAAGGGTTGGTATTGCCAAGAAAACTTTTTTCCACGCAAAGGACTCTTGGCAAGGAGTGGGCTACACTTCACGAAAACAGGCAAAAATGTACTTGGAAAAAGACTGCCCCAACTCATCAGGAGGGCTTTAAACTAAAACTGAGGGGGAAGGGTGACCAATCTCTAGAATCTCTAGAATCCAAAACTAATCACAAATCCCAAGAAAACAATGAGGTAGGCAGTGATGATAAAAAAGAAAAACTCAAAAACAATCAGGAGATGCGGCATAAAAGTCTTAAATGATTATATACAAACGCTCAAACGTTGGGGAACAAACAGGGTGAACTAGAAGCAATAGTACATGAAGGAGGCTTTGACATAGTTGGCATAACAGAAACCTGGTGGGATGAAACCCATGAATGGAATGGACTGATGGATGGATACAAATTGTTCAAAAGAAACAGGTCTACAAAACAGGACGGAGAGTTGCACTATAGGTAAGAGAACACCACATATCTACAGAAATGCACATGATCAAAGATAAAATCTCTCCAGAATGTATATGGGTCAATATAAAAGAGAAAAAAAGTGACATTGCCATAGGTGTATATTACAGGCCACCCAACCAATCAGAAGAAATAGATGAACTCCTTGCCAACCAGTTAACAAATGTATGTAGGAAGCATACCGCAATAGTAATAGGAAACTTGACCTACATCTCAGAGTTCTGAAAGAGCTGGCAGATGTTATCTCAGAAACATTGCACAACATCTTTCATAAATCCTAGAGCACCGGAGAAGTACCTGAGGATTGGAAAAGGGCTGATGTGGTTCCCATCTTCAAGAAAGGGAAAAAAAGGACCCAGGAAACTACAGACCAATCAGTTTAACATCAACACCTGGGAAGATCCTAGAAAAGATAATAAAAAAACAGATCTGCGAACGACTAGAAGCAAACAAAGTCATAACCAGTAGCCAGCAAGGGTTTGTTAAAAACAGATCATGCCAAATCAATATTATTTCATTCTTTGATAAAGTGACTAAACTAATAAACCAGCGAAACACTGTGGACATAGTATACTTAAGGCATTTGATAAAGTAGACCACAACCTACTCCTTGGTAAGCTAGAAAAAGGTGGAATAGACAACATCACCACCAGATGGATCTGTAGCTGGCTGACAAACCGTATTCAACAAGTAGTCCTCAATGGCACTACATCCACATGGAGAGAAGTAAGCAGTGGGGTACCACAAGGTTCCGGCTTAGGCCCAGTACTCTTCAACATCTTCATAAATGACTTAGATCAGGGAATAGAAGGGGAACTCATCAAATTGCAGGTGATACCAAACTGACAGGAGTAGCCAACACCTCAGATCCAACAAAATGACTTTCAATGTGGAGAAAAGCAAAGTTTTACATTTAGGTAGGAAAAATCAAAGGTACAAATACAGATTGGGCAAGACCTGGCTTAAAAACAGTAACTGTGAGAGGGATCTTGGAGTCCTAGTGGACGATCACTTGACTATGAGCCAGCAGTATGCAGCAGGAACCAAAAAAGCTAATAAAATCCTGGGTTGTATAAACATAGGCATAGAATCAAGATCACACAAAGTATTAGTATCGCTTTATAAAACACTAGTAAGACCACACGTGGAATACTGCAGCCAATTTTGGTTACCATATCACAAAAAAGATATTGAGAGTTTGGAAAAAATTCAGAGAAGAGCAACTAAGACGATCAAAGGCCTGGAGACTAAAACATACGAAGAACGGCTGCGGGACTTGGGTTTGGCTAGTCTAAAGAAAAGAAGAAATAGGGGAGACATGATAGCAGTATTCCAATATCTGAGGGGCTGCCACAAAGAAGAGGGGGTCACGTTGTTCACCAGAGCACCAGATGGAAGGATGAGAAACAATGGTTGGAAACTGATGAAAGAGAGAAGCAACCTGGAATTAAGGAGAAACTGACAGTGAGGACAATCAACCAGTGGAACAGCTTGCCTCCAGAAATCGTGGGCGCTCCATCACTGGAGATTTTAAAGAAGAGACTAGACAATCACCTGTCTGAGATGGATAGGTTCTCCTGCTTGAGAGGGGGCTGGACTAGAAGACCTCCTTCCAGTTCTATTCTATTCTATTCTATTCTACTCTACTCTACTCTACTCTACTCTACTCTACTCTACTCTACTCTACTCTACTCTACTCTACTCTACTCTATTCTAATTCTCAGAAGTGTCCAATAATCATGAAAGAAAATATTTTGTCTTAATCTCAATATTCTAAGAAACATTCCTAACAGTCTTTAAAATCCTTAATTATTGAATTGTTACTCTAGTGCAGGCATGTCAAACTGCCGGCCTGCGGGCCGGATGCGTCACGCCGTAACTGTGCCCACCCCATTGCCGGCAATGGGGAAAAAGTCCCGACATGTGATGCCGCGAGTTTGACATGCCTGCTCTAGTGTATTCCAACTGTTTATTCCAAAGTATATACAAGTAAGTAATATTCAACTTAGCAATACTCTCTAATCGTCTATAAAAGTTTGAATTGATTTAGAATAATCCAAAACATATTTTAGTGGTAATAGTAATTCAGAAGTTGTGGATACTGTTAACAATTCTGGAGCAAATTATGATATCAAGATATGCTTTAATTGAGTGCACTGCCATTCCACAGTTTTAGACAAATGGCATTTTTCTTGCAATAATTTAAGTGACTTTTGAAAACTTGATTGGCAGTTAGCTGCCAAAATTAATCCCTTTAGTATTCAATAATTTTTAAGACAAAGATTTACCTGCAATTTGCAATACTAGGTTTACCCCAGAGTATAACTTATATGTGAATATGGGCTTCTATTCCAACATTTTTCTCGCAGCATTAAAGACAGTACTTCCATCAACTTTTCTCAAAGTTCATCATGGACTTTATGAAAAGAAGTAAGGGCAGAAACTGGCACAAAATGACAATTTTTGTTCTTAAGAGGTTTGCTGCTCTGAAGGATGATACAAGTGTAGAAGCTACCTTAGCTGAAAATTTCCACTGTCTCTGGGGTCATATAGTAAAATATCTTGATATTCTTTGTGTGACTGCCTATCATTCACAGATAGGTGTAGTTTCACTGTGATGTGCTCATGTCATTATCATCTGAACCACATCCAGCCCTTTATCTGTGGCCAGAATAATGGGAAGTGATGAGACCTTCAATAGCCACTTCTTCATTTGCACTTCCCCCCACAAGTACTTAGAGAGGAAGAGTGAGAAGTCTGGAACAAATGCATAAGAAAAAGTGCCTATAACTGTTCTTTGCTGCCAGTTGCACATACACTGCCAACTTCTGATAACAAACTCAAGCATTTATTGTAGTTATAAATCTTTCACCACGGTAATACAAAATGTAGAACAAACTACAGTAAAAGCATTCTGCATAGAAAACAGGCATGAGATCTTACTTTCAGCAAATGAGGTCAGAGAGACAAATTCAAGATTAGGACAATCTAAGAATAGTCCACATCCAGTCTCATGTCCCAGGTAATCCAAGCACAGACCAGACACAGATAGGAAATTAAAAAATTATTCGCCACAAAGAGCCCATTCTAAAAATCATCTCTTTTATATAACCCTATTTTCTTGACTAACTGGCTGTGTCACACTTCTTCCTTTCAAGTGCAATGCTTGACTTCCTTTGCTCTTAACTGATAATAGGTTGCTAGGCTTAAGAGCCGGATCAACTGGATCCTCCTCCTCAGGTTGCTGTGGCTGAGTCTCTGTTTAGTTAGTTCCTGGGATGTGAGCCAAGGCTCAGAGTAATCAATTCCTTCAGAAGTTCTTCAGCTTCTGGATCATATGCCTCCCTAACACTGTCCTCCTTCTTAAGCCTCCTCCTATTGTACTACAGGTTTAGCCTTTATGGGGAACAATAGGTACTCCTATTGTACTACAGGTTTAGCCTTTATGGGGAACAATAGGTGAAACTGCTAGACTAATCTCAGCACAGAAACCTGGTCTGTATTTTTTCTCTTCTTCAGGTCTATATTCCTTCTAATCAATGAGTTATTGGAGTTTCTGCCAATGTCTCCAAGACTCTAGAGGCAGGCTACTCTGAACTATGTCAGGAAGTAGAAGAAAAATAGATGAGTGGTGTGTTTGGGGAATACAGCAGGAATTAATGACAATCTGTGGAATATCAGTGGGACTTTCAAAGATAAGGGAGTTTCCTGAATGAGCCATTGGCCTAGTGGGGAAAGATCCAAGTATCAATTGTCCAGCTTTTTGACTACAGTTAATGTGATGATATCTAGAACAAGCCATCAATTGCAAGAGCAGGAACTGTAGAGAAAGAAATAGAATAGAACAGAATTCTTTACTGGCCAAATGTGATTGGACACCCACAAGGAATTTGTCTCCGGTACATAAGGTCTCAGTGTACATACAAACAACAAAGTGATAAGTCATATATCATAGATCATAGTTACAATCATTAATCATAAGATACAACATGTGATAAATCATAGATACCAATAGGCGATATTAGCAAAGATGAGAAAGATGAGAAAGTTGTTCATGTGAGTCACTAAAGTATGTATATGTTTCTTTGGCCTTTTGGAATTGATCTTTAAGTACCTGATGTGTGACTTGAAGTTCCTGCAGATCTGAACCTGACATTGCCTCACAAGTTTAAGGAGGAGAGACCATTTAGTCTCCAGGAACTACCATGAGGAATTCTGCATGTAGCTTTTATCACATTCTATTAGATACCATCATTTAATTCTTGTCTTGTTAGTAAATATCTACAGTAGTATTTTATTATCCAGATATTTTACATGAAATGCTCTTTTACCTATCTATAAAATAGAGAGGCCTTATTCATGAACATAGTTAAAAAGGCCAGACTTAACAGGACACTCTAATACAGGGGTCTTCAAACTCGGCTCTTTTATGACTCATGGCTGAGGAATTCTGGGAGTTGAAGTCCATGAGTCATAAAAGGACCAAGTTTGAAGATCCCTGCTCTAATACATATCTCAATGGCATGACACAATCCTATGCTTCTTTATTCAGATGTAAGCTTTCATGTGCGCTTTAGATTTATTCTCAATATTGATTTACTAATGGAAGTTCTTATTTTCTAAAAGACCTATTATTAAAGACACTTCAAGAATAAATTAGGGAAGATTTTGGATTCAAATCTCCCTTGTACTTCAGTCAGCCCAAAGAGGAGCTGGCATAGTTAATTTTCCCACAGTGGAGGAGATAGTAGGATGGTGAGGGAAAATGTAAATAAATTAGCTCTTCTCATCATTTTCACCTTCATAGCAATGAATTTGCATGGGTTAATTGTCAGAAACTTCTATGGCTCCTGAACTGACCATAGAATCTCTCTGACGTAAATCCAGGGTTCATGTGAATCAAATTTTTGTTTTCTTCCTAAGCTTTAAGTATTTTGATGTTCTATTATGAATACACTATATTATTTATTCAATGTATAATATATTAGTGTGTCATTTTTTTCATTTCTGCTCAGATACCACAGCAGCAACCATGCTGAGAAATATTAACTGCAATCTTTGTAAAGACTGAGTGAATGCATATTTTGATTTCTGCTGCATTTTTTCTTGAATTTCCCTTTATAAAAGTAATAATTTAAAAGTCTATAATTGATAAAATTATAAATATACATTTATATTTCTGTAGGTTGGAGAAAGGCCTGTGAAAGACAATTTTTGTCCTACGCCATATGCTCACTATGAGGTGCCTCCAAGCTTTTATCGCTCAACAATGATTCTTAAACCCCAATTAGGACTTGGTGCTGTTTCCAGGTTGCCATCTGCAAAAAGCAGGATTTTGATTTCCAGTCAAAGGTCTTCAGCAAGCTGCATCCATCCTCAAGCACCAATACCCAGTTCAACACTATTCCATCCTGAAACTTCAGGTGATCAATTAATCTATTTGGCTGAGCTAGTAAATCATAAATCATAATGATAAGCTGAATTTAATCACAATATAAAGGCAATTTAGAATATTGTACCAAAGGGGCATTAGATCACTAAGTGGTCTGATTGTCTGTTTTCAGTAAACTCAGTTTATGTTTTAATTATAACAGCAAATCACCAATATAGGTCTTTGAATTTGTTTGTAGTTTGGTTTGGTTTGTTCTGGTTTGATTTGATTTCAGCAGGACTAAACATGATCAGAAGTTTGCCTTCTTACTAGTTAGTGCTGCAGTCTTATACTACAGTTTTGTCTGTCTGATACTGTCTAGAAGTGTTGAACCACAATTCTTATCATCTCCCATAATCTTAACCAGTATATTTTGTGTTTTGGAAGATGGTTTGGGGAAGTCTGCTTAATCAACTGATCTGACAGCCCCACTGAATACAATAGTTGTATTAAGAATGTTTACACAACACTCTTGGCCACATTACCAAATTAATCCATTTTCTGGATATGCACAGTAACATAAAATATCCAAGCATACTGATTCATAACATAAGCTAACCATGTGACCCTGTTGTGCATGTTGTGTGAACACAGCTATAGGGTTCTTTGCATACTAAGTTAAAATCTGTAGGATTGGATGGCCCATATAATAACGTGGATTGTTAGTTTGTTGATATGTTTATTTTGGTGCCTTCAAGTCAGTGTTGACTCCTGATGACTGCCTGGGCAAATCCTTGCAGTTTTCTTGACAAAATTTCAGACGTGGTTTGCCATCGCCTGCTTTCCAGGGCTGAGGTCACCAAGCTGGCTTTGTACCTAAGGTGGGACTAGAACTCATGGTTTCCTGGTGTCTGGCCTGATATCTTAACCACTGCAACATACCGGTTTATATATTAGGAAAATATTTATTTTTGTATGTGAATTATTGGATCTATTTGCAGTAGAAAATGCAACTGAACAGTTAAAATGTTTCTGGAGAATTCACATGGTTTTGTGTTGGAGTGGATTTTAAAGCACCTGCATAAAAATGAACAATGCTTGTAATCAGATATGATCTAGTAGGATTTGTCTGTCTGAATATTAACTGAAGGCAAGTTAAATGGAGATTGCTTTCTCTCATCAATTGCTGGCATCACTTTGATCCCTACCACAAATCATATGAATTTTAATGCAAATGTAGGCCTCTGCTCATCCATTTTACACCATTTTTTTTCTATCCCTGAGAACATTATCTCCTTTTTGCACATGTTTAGAAAAATAAGAGCTGTAATCTGCTAGTGCGTGAGCTTTATTTTCCCCTGGGGTAAACTACTAAATTAGGGATTATGTTGGGGACATGATGACATCATAAGACTCCATAATTCATAATTCCCTGGAAAATGGTCTGTAGGATATAAAATGTTTGTGATACTAAAATAAATATATTTAAAGATTAAATACATGTTTCAATTCTCCAATAGGACTTTAAGCCCATATCTAGTCATCACTTTGTATAAGAGAAAAAAATACCCTCTACTACAAAATGATTATTACATTGTTATTGCGCACAATAAAAAGAACATTGTACATTATAATTATAAAGCTATACATGTTGTTCCTATTTGTTTCAAAATCCCAAGGGAGAAACATCAGCCTCAGTTCTGTTGCTTTTGAGTTCACACAATGGCTTCTGCTTTCATTTTTCCAATGTTTTAAAAGAGAAATGTTACTTTCATTTTTTTATGTCTCACATCTATTATCACATGTGAATATTGGGGCAAAAATATTTCTTAAAATGTGTTATATTTTGGCTTTCCTGCTTTTCTGAAAATCTTCTCACTTTGCTTTTCAAATCTTTTAACACAAATATAAAAACAGAATATTAAATTGCACATTGATATGCAATGTTTAGTTTACTATGTCTACTCAGAAATAAACCCGTTTGAGTTTAATGGAGCTTACTCTCAAGGTAGTGAATATAGAACTGCAGCTGCAATGCAATGACAGTGTTTTCTGACTCCAGGCATATAAGCAACCAGTTGGCAATTAGATCCCTGCTGATTTAGACTAATGAAAAATAGGGCTTGATTAACTTATCTTTTTCAGGAAAAGAGTGAATGTAAACTTGCTAGAGTAGACTAAAGTGAGATTGATTAGCTTATGGTTCAGCATTTTGTGGGAAACCCAGCTGTTCTTGTAACTCCCAAGAGTTACCATGTTCTGTGAGCTAGGTCATCATGTTAAGCCATGGAATAATTTATTCCTCTGGGCATAGCATGTTATGTAAACACAGCAATTGTGCTTGGTTAGCATGGGGTTAAGCGTGCTGTGAACCAGCCATCTGCCTAGAAGATAGACCCTCTAGGGGGAAAAAAAAACCCCTGAGCTTGGATAATCTTCATGAATTTTTCTCTTTTCAATGGATTTTTTTTTTCATAACACTAAATGTAAAGAATGCAAGAGAAAATATTTTAAATATTCATCTAACAAATATCTGGCTTATCCAATTTTATTGCACTATTGTATTCATGATATATGATTAGATTATATGGAAAATCAGATGAACAGACTTGTTAAATTAAAACAATCTTATACTTTAAATGTGTAAAAATATACACAACTAATAATAATATATGGTATTTTGTTTCACTGGATTTTATTTGTAGCAGAGTTGGGCAATCTACAACCAGCAGGACACCTGTAACATCTGATTTTTTTTTCTGCAGTCTTCTTAACTCTATGGCAGCATAGCTTGCTACCAATAATTTAATATTTTTCAAAGTGTGGTTCTTTCTGGTATAATCTATAATTCATTTCTGATATATATATGCTTATTACTAAAGATAGACAAGAAACCATCAAAGTAGTGTGGCTATGTTTTTTTAATTGTTGTTTACTTTTTGCTGTAATTTTTGCTGCTTTGCTGTTGTTTTATTGTTGTTTTTTGTATTCTTTTACTTTGTGAATCTCCTAGAGTCATTGGGAGTTGGATGTACAAATTTAATAAATAAGACAAAATAGTTTTGGATTGCAGTCTAATGCAAACTTCTCTTTGTATCAGTAAACAAAGCTTCTAAGTGAACATTTATAGAATTATTCGCTAGAAAATGAACAGTCTGTTCCAACAATCAACTGCATTATATATTGCATTTCCACTTGACTTTTGTTCTTTTCATTTCCAGCATCCATATTTAATAAGAGCCCTACGAGATAAGAAAAAAAAAACTATCCTCAATCTGTAGCTGTATAATATCTTTATTAAGATCAATTAGCAATAACACAAACAGATGTTCAGGTTTTGCAGTTCTCCAGAACTTTTCATCAGGGAAAAAGTTACAAAACAAAACAAAATGACAGAAGAAAGTTTCAAAATTGGACTAAACATTTTTAGACTGTAAGTTGTGCAAGGAAATTAGTCTTCAAATGGAATAGCTGACTGAAGGCAGAGTTTCAAATTACACTTAATCTTTGGACAAAAGAAATGATTGATTCCTTCAACTGTGAAAGAACAAAATCATTGCCTTTCCCTAGTTTGTCCCTAGCTTTCGTTCATGCCACAAGTTGCCTTAAGCCTGGGAGTAAGGAGGAACAAAGAAACATCGGTCTTCGTACTGAAGATGGTCCAAGGATTCCCAAATGAACCTGATACCTGGCTACAGATGTGAACTAGGCCTCTTCAATCTTTATCAGACATTTATAGTGTCGTACATCCCCTATGATACTGACATTGGTACTCTAGTACATCAAACTCACAGTTTCTTCTGATTCACCCTCTCTGTTTATGATTATCAGAGGGGTCCTAACAAACCCCAACTATTATATTAAAAAGTGATTTTTTTAAATCTCTGCAAACACATTTTCCTTTAGTTCAATGGTTCTCAACCTTTTTAATGCCGCGACCCCAACCGGTCGTAAGTCGAGGACTAAACCGGTCGTAAGTCGAGGACTAAACCGGTCGTAAGTCGAGGACTACCCAACCGGTCGTAAGTCGAGGACTTTCCCTGCCCAGGAGCGCCGCGCATGCGTGGTTCTGCCCCCTGCGCCAGCCGAGGCGTAGCTGGCAAGCGGCAGAGACAGAGCAGGCCGACCACCAGCTGGCCCAGCCCAAGGGAGGTAAGGCACCCGCTGGAAAAGTGGAAAAAAATGGCGGACAAAAAAAATGGCGGACAGCCTTGCTTGGCGACCCCCATGAAATGGTCGATCGACCCCAAATGGGATCCCGACCCACAGGTTGAGAACCACTGCTTTAGTTTGACATGCTGCTACTCAGCTTCTTATCTCTTTTTATCTATCATAGTGTTTTTATGTTTTATGTTAGGAGCAATGAAAGCAAGTTAATTGTCCTACAGAGAAGACAGATGACAAGATGCCAACCTTAGGCAGAGCTTCTACATTCATTATCTCTTAGGAATTTGAAAGGAAGGCCATTTTGCATGGCATCAAGAAGGGAGTAAGAGAGAATTGATGAGTATTACTGGCTTAAGCAAAGAGTCAGCTACTGCAGAGTAGAGATGCTTGGTAGGGGTGTACCATATGTTATTATCATGACCTTGAGTGACAGCCAAAGCATCAGTGTGCTAGTTAAGTGTGGACTGTGTAGCATGACAATTAAATAAATACGTAGCTGGCTCCAAAATTGTAGTCAAAGTATAATCAAAGTAGAGAAGTATTGAATTGTGCCCTGGATGCTGCACTCTTTCTTATGTGTATTAATAACATGGATGAAGTGATGGAAGAAATGCTTATGACATTTGCAGAGGATATCAAATTGGATGAGAGAGCTAGAAGATGGAAATAAACTTCATACAACTCTTAAAATATTAGACAAACAACAGGTGAAATTTGATAGAGACAAGTGCAAAATTCTTCAGTTTGGAAACAAGAACCCTATGTTCAGTATAGTGCAGGATAGAGACACTTGGTTTAATACAGTTAGATAAGGGTGAGTGGTCGGTAACCCATGGCAATGGTTTGTCTCCATACTGCTGAATGTCTGTGTACAGGAGCAACTGG